AACATGGACTTGGAAATGAGGGGATGAGCGGAAAGTAAATAAGAAATAAAATGGAAAAACCGCTTAAGAAGAAAAAAAAAAAGGCAGATCCCTAAGTATAAATTGGGTGTGAATTTACTATAGAAGGAGGTGCCAGTCACCAAGTGCATCAGACCCAACAGAGACACAGCTATAGCAGCAAGAAAAAAATCCCAAGCTGACTGAGCACAAGTGCACATATTACATTCTAATGTTTGGTTATAAAAACTAGTCCTAACTTTTTNAGAAAATACTGCTTACTACATATGAGGTGATAAACACCAGGACTAAGATTTGGATGGAGGATGTGAACACAGAAAGGAGTTAATCCTAGAGAGCCATGGAGAAAAATTACACAAGGGAAAGAAAAGTGCAGAGAATCATACAGCTCCAAAGATTACAAATCTGGTGGTAGGAGAGGATAACATCACCACTGAAGGTTAAGAAAAGNAGAACCGATAAGTCAATTTTTGGTATGGTAAGTAAATCAAGAAAACAATTCATTACAACCTTTGTATAGAAATAAAACAACTTTATCTTGCCCTAGAGTCTTAAAAAAAATTCTGAGAAACAACACTACAAAACTAAACTCCATTTTAAATACACAGTAAGAAATGTTTATTAAATGCAATAATGGTTGCTGAGGAAAATCTGTAACCTCTTAGTAACTGACAAAGATTTTCTCCTTGACCTAACTCCAGCTAGGTTCCTCTGAGCCCTCTTCTGGACTAGGCCTCAACCTCAGCCTGTAAAGACTTGAACAAACACTAACAATTTCTAACAGCTCAAGGCCACATCCCTGAGATGACCCTGGCTCCCCTTAGTGCCTGCCTGAGAAAGCTCAAAGCTGCCAAAGAATTTACTCTCTGTTCTAGCCAACACCTGAAGACACTGTCCCTGTCTCCCAATCTCTGTAGGAGGATAGGTGCCTAACTTCCACAAGCACCAGTTACTAAATCCAGATGGGTTTCCCAGGGACCAATTCCCCTCTCTGCTTTTCATAACTGTGACTTCCCTGGCTCTGCTCAAGCCCCGCCATCCCCCTTCCCTACTCCCTCATTCTCCCTTTAAAATACCGAGTCACCTCTGTACAAATCAGAATGTAGCTACATTCTACATTCTTCCCCTACTGTCAGTAGTTACTGAATAAAATGTTTGCTCTGCTCTAATGTCTAGCTGTATTTATATTTGATAAAAATCACATTAAAAAAGCAATCAATCTAAAACAGTCACATATTTAATTACGAATCATCTGAAATATGAGAAAGGATGATCAAGAATTTTTTTTTTTCCTTTTTTTTTTGTCTTTTTTTTTGTGTGTGTGTCCGGCAATGGATCGCAACCCTCAGTGTCGCGCCCGGACCGGGACCGGCAACGGGATCGCAACCCTCGGTGTTGCGCCCGCACCTCGCTCAGCCAGTGAGCGGGAGCCGGTCTGTATGTGGGATCCGAACCCTCGACGGGAGCGCCGCCGCGCTCCCAAGCGGCGCACTGTAGCAGTGCGCCACCGGGCCGGCCCANTCCAAAGATTACAAATCTGGTGGTAGGAGAGGATAACATCACCACTGAAGGTTAAGAAAAGAGGAACTCAGTTTGAGAACCGATAAGTCAATTTTTGGTATGGTAATTAAATCAAGAAAACAATTCATTGCAACCTTTGTATAGAAATAAAACAACCTGGGCGGGCCCGGTGGCACACTCCTACAGTGCGCCGCTTGGGAGCGCGATGGCGCTCCCGCCGAGGGTTCGGATCCCACATACAGACCGGTTCCCGCTCACTGGCTGAGCGAGGTGAGGGTGCAGCACCGAGGGTTGCGATCCCGTTGCCGGTCCTGGTCCGGCACGGGCGCGACACTGAGGGTTGCGATCCGTTGCCGGACACGAAAAAAGACAAAAAGGGGAAAAAAAAAATAAAACAACTTTATCTTGCCCTAGAGTCTTAAAAAAAAATTCTGAGAAACAACACTACAAAACTAAACTCCATTTTAAATAGACAGGAAGAAATGTTTATTATATGCAATAATGGCTGCTGAGGAAAATTTGTAACCTCTTAGTAACTGACAAAGATTTTCTCCTTGACCTAACTCCAGCTAGGTTCCTCTGAGCCCTTTTCTGGACTAGGCCTCAACCTCGGCCTATAAAGACTTGAACAAACACTAACAATTTCTAACAGCTCAAGGCCACATCCCTGAGATGACCCTGGCTCCCCACTTAGTGCCTGCCTCAGAAAGCTCAAAGCTGCCAAAGAATTTACTCTTTGTTCTAGCCAACACTTGAAGACAGTGTCCCTGTTTCCCAATCTCTGTGGGAGGATAGGTGCCTAACTTCCACAAGCACCAGTTACTAAATACAGATGGGTTTCCCAGGGACCAATTCCCCTCTCTGCTTTTCATAACTGTCACTTTCCTGGCTCTGCTCAAGCCCCGCCACCCCCCCTCCCTACTCCCTCATTCTCCCTTTAAAATACCAAGTCACCTCTGTACAAATCAGAATGTAGCTACATTCTACATTCTTTCCCCTACTGTCAGTAGTTACTGAATAAAATGTTTGCTCTGCTCTAATGTCTAGCTGTATTTATCTTTGATAAAAATCACATTAAAAAAAGCAATCAACCTAAAACAGTCACATATTTAATTATGAATCATCTGAAATATGAGAAAAGATGATCAAGAATTTTAAATCAATAAAATGTCCGTTCTCTGCAATATCTGGATGAAGTCAGTAGGAAGATTACTAGATTACTGAAAGATCTCTGTCTTTCAGTATCATCACTATAAGAAAAAGTTTACTCATATTCACTCACCAAGCTTTGACAATTCCATCTTCTTTTTAGACCAAGTATAGTACTGCAAAAGCCCTTTAAGGCTTGAATAAGATTGATTAATATTTCCTGGGAAGACGACTTCTCTCCTTATCTCCATGTCTCTGTCTCACTTAGATTTCTGTTTGCATCCTCAAACATTCCATGATGCAGAAGGTACAATGCATGTTGCAAGGAGATCTGCAACAAAAATAAGAAAAAGCCCACTGAAATTTCAGTCATTAGATAACCATTAGTCAAAAAGCTCAGTAAATACATGCTCACTTTGGTAGGACACAAGTGATATGACCCTGCCCCTGTCATCAAAATTTTCAATCTAGTGAAGAAGACACATGAAATAATTAACAGTATGTAAATGAGGGCTAAATTATGTAAACTTACAAACAGAAGACAGTGTGATATAGTGAACAAAACAATGGGCTTTGAAGACAGAGTGCCCTAGTTCTCATGGCACTTAAACGATAAATAAACCTGAGTAAATTACTCACCTTTTGAGAGTCTCATATGTTACATGTAACAATTATTATTGACCCTTCAGAAGGGTATTGTCGAGGATTAAATTAGATAATATTTACATGCAACCTAATGCCTAGTTTGGCCCATAACAGACAATTAATCAATATAAACTACAGGTTAAGTATCCCTTATCTGAAATTCTTGGGACCATAAGCATTTCAGATTTTAGAATATTTGTATTATACTTGAGCATGCCAAATCTGAAAATCCAAAGTCCAAAATGCTCCTGTGAGCATTTCCTTTGAGCGTCATGCTGGCACTCAAAAAGTTTTAGACGTTGAAGGTTTCAGATTTCAAATTTTTGGATTAGGGATGCACAACCTGTATTTTATACATGTTATATAAGCTCAGAGAAAGCATCTTGATAAGAGGTTTTAAAGAATGGCTTCAGTTCAGATAGAAAGGAAACTATCTCTGACAAAGGAGAAGCAATAACAACAATCACACAGAGAGGAGAGGCAAGATAGCTGACTAGAGGGGTCTGGCTCTAGTACCCTCCCATCCCTCCACCCCCCAATAAAGAGCCCAAACAGCAAACAAATACATTTCAACCTAACCAACTAAAGAAATATGCTGCAGAGCACCAGGAGAGTGATGAAATCCTTGTGAAGTGTGGAAGACAGGAATAGTGCCACAGAGAGCACAGCAAGGCATCCAGCCTCTGCCCTGCTGCAGAGACCAGCTCAGTTAGGCAGAGAGAGATAAGCTGGGGAAAAAAACCCAGCTGTTTCCACTGCCACCACAAACATCTGTGATCCCTGCCACAAGAGAGTCCCCCAATCCTTTCAGGACCCAAACCCAGTTGGAGAATAGGTGGGAATTTCTGCAGCTGCATGGTATCACAGTAGAAACCTAGGGAGAAGAACCCCCCCATTCTCACCCTAAGTGGCTATGGCACAGCGCAGTCTCGAAACCAAATCTGTGGTTAAAGTATGCATGCCCCAGCCCCAGTGAAACTGACTTCATTTATCCAGAAGCCCCATCTATATTCTACCACATTCACATGGTCACCAGCAAGGCCATGACCCTGGCTGCCTGGAGCCTAGGCCAGAGAGAAAGACCGCACCCCCAGCACCTGAATTCACATGGCACCCTTTCCTTCCCAGAAGAGCAGGCAGACCTCTGAGTGGAATAGCTTCCAATCAGTAGCTATTTCCCACATTCGTGTGCACCCACCCTGCACAGCTTACAGACTAACTGAACCCATAGGTGCCCACTCTGGCCAGAAGCCAGCCGAGCAATAGCTCCTCCTCCCCTTGCAGTCCTCTACAATGCCATCAGGGCCTGCTGCTTCCTTGCAGACTTGCTGCAGGCTCAACAGCTGATCTGGCAGCCTTCCATAGAGCTGCCAGGTCCTGCAACACTAGTGTACACCTACTCCCTGACCAACAGTGGATTGGGTAGCAGCTTTTCCTCCCAACAGCAGGCCTCTACAGAGCCATGGGGTCCTGCAGCATCCAATGCAGGCTTGCGCCAGGCTTAACAGCTGATCCAGTGTACCTCTACAGAACTGCCAGGCCCTGCTGCACCACTGTGTACCCGCTCACTGACCAACAGAAGATTGGGCAAGGGCTTTGACCCTCTACAGCAGGCCTCTACAAAGCTACTGGGCCCATAGCCACAACCACCCCACCCAGTGTCACCCAGTGTCCACCCACCCCAACAAGACACTCCCAAGGGCACCACAAACAATAAAAGGGAAAGGAACAAAA